AGTGAATGATGAAAAATGCACTTTGCTTCGACCTCGGCTCGTCTTATTATTCTACATGTATATGCACACTTTTTATACAAAGTCGGACTATATAACGTTTACAACAATAGGAATAGACATTCAAAAGTCCCCGAGGTAGAAAAATATCAGTACGCTTGAAATGCGCATAAGAAACATAACCTCAGTGTATTAACCTGTACATATAACGATGTACCTCGGAAAAACGGAAACAAAATTTTCAAAATTGTTGCAAAATAATTTTGTGTTACTCAGTAGTTGTGAAAATGCACTGCGCAACCACTTGTCAGCACAACCACAATGTTCTGCCAGCGTTTTGGACGTGGATTTTATGCCTGTTTTGAAGACTTATTCTGAATCGTTTTCTAGAGACAGTTGCTGGAAGTAATACTTTTCATGATATGGGAGCAAACGCAAGTACCTCTAAATACAGAGATAAATCTTCTGTGACATTTCCTACATCATCTGAGGATATTTTAAGAAAAACTTATCAGGTGACGTGTTCACACGACATTATGTTCACTTTCTACTGAACCGTACATAACCTCAGTTGATCTATTTGACCTCAGTTAACCATCTATTTGATCTTTATGAATGTGTAGGGCCTAAATAGCATCAGGCTTATAAGCCTCTTCTCAGAGGGTACGTACAGATATGTTTATATGTTTAGTTACAGAAAGTACATTGGTACAAAACTAATTAAGTATACAGAACTTCCTGCAGACCTTTTTACAAAAAAAAGTAAATTTTACAGCTCTTTTGAACAGTTCCCACCCATTTTTTGCCATACTTTTTAACTGTTCTTACTGTCATTTATAATATTGATTTTCCTACAGTTCTGACATTTTCATTAAATTGATTTTTATTTTTTAGGTACAGTTGGTGAAGGTATTTACATAATTTTGTCTGGGGAAGCAGTGGTTTTGTCAGAGGGAGAGGAGCAACAGGCAATCGCGCACATAATGGAGGGAGAGTTTTTTGGAGAGGTGTCCTGTTTTTTTGGAAGCCTGTGCACTGCTACTGTTATGACAGTAGCAAAGTAAGAACCTGAAAGAATATCCAGTATGCTTGTATTAAATACAATAAAAAATTACAAACATTTGAAAATAGAATATAAATGATGATGATGGTGATGATGTTGATTATAACAGTGATGGTGATCATACAGACGATAATAATGATGAAAATAATGATAATGGATATACTGGCATTTTGGTATACGCTTCTGAAATTTTAGCTGAATATTGTAGTTATCAGCTTATATCAGTTAGTCAAATAAGGCTATTGCATTTCAGTATTTCACTTCTGAAAGATTTTGTATTATTGTTTTTTTTTTAATCTCTGCCCTGTAATATTTTAGGGCAAAACTTCTTTTTCTTCGAAAAGATATGCTTGCAACAGTGCTGCAGCTTAGATTAGATCCTGGAAACAAAGAGGAACAACTGAAATGGTTTGTAGCAAGGCGATATCTCCCAACAACAGATTTGGTACAGAAAGATCTCCTAGAATTTCAGATAATTGTAGAGTGTTTAAAAACAGTTAAGTGACATCATGTAATGGTATTACATAAATTTATTAATTTGTCAGTTTTATAGTTTTCCATGGTACTTTAAATAACCATACAATATAATTTTTTTATAATGATTTGGCAGAATTAAAAAAAAATGATTTATTACCTGAAGGAACTAGAAATATTCAATTACCACAAGGTTGTAAGTGCAGTTTTAAACGAATATTTTTTTGTAAAAAAAAAAAAAATTCTTCAGGTTCCATTATTCTCTGTCTGGCCCGATGAAGCCCTGGAATCTGTAGCTTTGAACATGGCAGAACCTATGATAATTGTGTATCCTCCAGGAGCATGTATACTTAGGAAAGGGGATCCTGCCGACCCTCTGTTAGTATTACTCCGAGGAAGGTACATGTACAAACCTTTTAAATCATGCAATTTATGATTCTTATTGGTTGGTTTGGGGAATTCTTCACAGCTTCGTAATTTTTCTATTCAAAATTTTTTTGCCAATCTTTTAAAACTTTTCTCAGTGTATTTCTTCTATTTTTAACATTACTCTTGGATTATGATTTTTTGTCAAACTTGGCAACAGGCCAGCAGAAGATTCTGCAGTGCATCTTGTTTGATACTGGTAGTTTAGTGTTTTGTTTCTTGTCATGCTGGTCACTTTTCGTAATATATTCTAGGGTCATGATAATGGAAAATGAGAAAAATGTTCAGGAAGTGAAGTCCAGAAGATTGGCTTTTACATTTGGAGAAGAAGGTATTTTGTTTTTGTTTTTGTTAAGTAAAAAATGTTTCAAATAATATCAGAAATGTGGCATTGTGCATTTTATTTGTGCATTTGTCCAACCCAAAGTAACCCTACCCCAGTAGCTGATAGTTGGTGTCACTTTTACTTTTTTTCTACCAATGTCATTTTATTCCGTGTAGGCCATACCATAAAATTTAAAACAAACAGCATAATACTGCATAAAACAGCACAAAATTAATTTAAAGGTATTTTCTACATTAGGTTTGTTTACTGGTAGTGAAAAGATGTTAACAGTTAAAGCTGTAACCTGTTGTCAAGTAATACAACTGAGACGACATTTACTTTTCAAAGTTGTAAGACAGGTAAATCATCCATTTAATGGTTTGGATATTATTAGACTGTTATAATGTAGCAGCTAATTGGTGCTGTAGATAGTTGCTTAATGATGATAATGTTAACCACATTTCTAATATCAGTGCAAAATGTAACTCGGTGCTATGTATGCCAACATGTAGTAGTTGGTTCTCAAAGTTTTAAGAATTACCAATTGAATTTCTCTTTTAAGAGTTTTTTAAAAAAATTTTAATGTCATTTGTACAAGAAATTAGTAGTTCTTAACTGACAGTTGTGATAAGATATATGCGATATACAATATTTTTTTTTAATTTAAGCATCCAGTTACTTTAGAAAGGGCTTGGTCAAAGATGGACAAAATCTGGAGAGATTTTTCTAAAAAGAAAAATTCAGAACTACAGAGTACATATCCAGCTGCATGTTTGCAGTTTGAGGTACAGAATCAGATGCAATGGTAAAATGGCCTCATGCTCAAAATTAAAAAAAAAAATAGATGTTCTTGGGTTAGAATATTAATTTTAATGGGGATAAAATCAGTGTCAGTTATGCAACATCCACTAATAAACACGTGTTCTTAAAAGCAGAATGTCACCTCTATGAGACCCATCTTTCACTTCAGACTATTTACCAAAGATTATGTCAAGCAGAAGAATTGCTGAAATTTCCAAGAAGTTTCATCTATGAGCTGGCCTTGGGGTGTGAAGTTGTGGCAGTTCACAGAAAACTGCAAAAGGAATCAACTAGTAAATATTGATTCAAAGGGGCAGTATGCATTTAGATATATAGGTTTATTGTTATCAAATACACAATGGCCAGTGTGATTTACAATATTACAGAAAAAAATATGGTAAAAAAGGAGTAAAATATGATAACATAATAAACAGGGTTTTTGTTATAATAAATCAACCCAAACCCAAAATACATCCTGTGTAAATTAAAGATGACAACACATGGAAATGGTGTAAATGCAGTGTGAAAACATAAGGGATGAAACTTTTCAGTAAGCTTCAATCAACAGAAAGAAAAGGCTATTCTTATATTTGTAATAGTTAAGAAGTGCTAGATAACTAAAAACACCAGAAATATTGATAATGTTATAAATATACGTTTTTTGTAGATGAAACATGTGGTTTGTTCATCTTAAAGGGAGAGATATCAGTCATTCAGCAGGAACAATCAAAAACATACAGAGCTGGAAGCCTGATAGGTAAGAGATACATTAGAAATGACATGTAATTCATTCTAGTTTTGGAATAAATCTCCCTTTATCTGGGCCAGAGATTGATTTTTTGTTAGATATATACAGACGTCTCTGGCTAGTTCTGTATGCTTTTCTCTACTGGAGTATTTTTGCGAGACATTAACATCACCACTCTACTGGGCTTATGTATGGAGTTGCAAAAATTCATTTTAAATATTACCTTCCCTTTTCTCCCCATAGAGATCAGTTCAAAAATGCATTTTAATATTTTTATTTTGGTTTTATTTGCAACTTTTTTTTCTCTTCAGGTATGGATAACACAAATGGAAATAAAGAATTCCAGATGGTTGCCAAAGAAATGTCAGCAGTAGTCAAGTTAACTAAGCAATCCATGAAACATGCCCTGGAAAGTCATCCAGAATGTGAATTATTGATTTCAAACAACTTTTTCAAAACAAACTGATAATGGTAGCAACAACAATTACCTAAATGTTTTTAAAACCCTTTAGTAATTGAATCAGAAGTCATGTTTTTAAAGTGAAAATTATAGGCTCAGGCTTTTTGTAAATACAACTGTTTGCTGATCATCAGGAAAAAATGCTTGCAATTTAAACCAAATCTATTAACGAACTAAATTACAGACAGAAAGTCTATGTTCACTACAAATTTGTAAGAACATGTCTCCTTTTTGACTAAATAAAGTAAACATTTGTAAGAACAAAACTTGTGTTTTAACATTTGTGAGGACTTTCTCACTTTTCTATAAACAAAACTGTTTTTGGCACACAATGCTCCAATACCATCCTCCACCTCAGCCTAATTTATTCCTTTTTCCATGACTAGGTGAGGGCACTGGAGAATCTGCTTTAGTTTTTCTGCTGTTTGGCTGTGAAACGCCATTGGAGTTTTTTCGCACAAATGGCGCAACTGCTTGTGTATTGTTACTTGGAAGTTGTGATGCCTCGACACTTGGGTCAGGAGGGGCTAATGATTCCAAGTAGCCGACTCTGTGATTCAAGGCAACAAGAATACCCTGCATCTGAAATAATAGTAGCATGAAATATTGAAACCAACACATTGTTTCAAGTGTTTATATTTATTTTTTTGCACCTGTTATAACCATACATATGTAGTATCCACTGAATAACATCCAATTTATATAATAAATTTTAACAATACGAAACATTGCACTTAGTGAATTTTAATGTGTGCTATCTGTATTTGAAATTCCCCCTAAGTCGTATTTCCTGTCTTCTTGATAATTTGACTGAAGATACATCAAATCAAATCCAAGAGTAGCAGACTCAGGAGTAGCAGTTGTTAAGGAAAAGATAGACTTTTTTATCAAGAATTTTTTTTTTTAATCCGAGATAGGATACCTTTTAGCATAACTTGATTTGTAATGCCAGCAGGGTACAAAGGCTTCAAAGGTTATAATTCTTATACGTGTTCTTAAAAAGAACACCATTTTTCTATTTCAAGCTTATACCAGGCATGAAACCAGTCCTCACTGAAAAAGTAGGATTTGCACGATTCACAAGAATAACCCTGAAAAAGTCTGAATTCCAACAAAAGTCGGACAAGTCTCATCAATGTTATACGTACCTTTTGAAGTTGTTGCACTACAACGTGGAAGGAGGGAAAGGACAAGGTGCTCTCATGACTTCCAGAAACAGATGGTGGATTGCCACTTCCCACTTCATAGCTAATAAAAAACAATACATATTAACATGCAATTAGCATTTAGCTTTTTTGTTAAAGATGAGCCAGATAATTTAATACTAATACAACTATCACATTGTGAATGAGATGAGTACCCAAAAGGCCAGGGGTAAAACTGAACACATCAAAAGAAAAAAAGTTAGGTACACGTTAAAAGTTTGTGATAAATATTTAAAATAAACCATTTCAGATAACATTTAGATATCACCTCAAAAGCAAAATGATACTTTTCCTAAGTTCATGTCTCTTTAAAAATCTGTTTACCTTTTGATTTTATTGGCATCGAAACCAAATTTCTCTCTGATACTGTCCAGACTCTTGTGTGTTGTTTGATACATCTTACCAAGGAGTTCCTTGCAACTCAAACATCTCAGTCTGACAAATGTGCTAAAAAATGTGCAATGAAGATTATTTTTTACAGACTGCCATCATAAATAAGCAATAAAGAACAAATATTCAGTAACTATGTATTTTGATTCAGAATAACAAAAGTCTTGAAAAGATATTCAAAATAATGAGAACAGGTTTTTCTTTAAAGCTACCTATTAAACAAAAAGATTCCCAGTAATGCATATAAACCAATTTTACTATAGTTTCTTATATGAATAAAATAAAGTCAACATGCCAAGTCATTAACCAAATTAATCTCTTGTGCAGCTAAAAAATAGCTGTATAACTGCACCTTCTTCAAATTTCTGGTATTGCACAATCATTCGATTTGTATGGATGCATGCACAATTGCATACTTATTCAAATGCGTTGCACAGAAAGAAAGCATAAATATCCTTTCAAGTATCATTTTTCCAGATTTATTAAACAATGCCCTTAGATATTCCCCTAAAATTCTACTAAACTATTTGAAACTATGCTGGCATTTGGTCAGGTTTTTGCAGCAAAAAAATTTATCAAAATTGACTTCAAATGCAGTTATTTAATTAAAGGGTCAAAAGCAATGATAAACATTTGCCAACCTTCCTACATCTGCACCTTCTGTTGAAGTTATCAGGGTGCTACCTTGGTACACATTTATAGCCGCTGAAATGTTGATAATGTCAAAATTATAACATGCATAGTGACAGGTACTGAAGAATAAATTAAGGCATTTAACTTTTAAGCCATTGAAATTGGAAAATGTTGAACTTTGAGGTGGACTTACAGCCCAAAATCATGATCCTCAGGTCTTGATTTATTCCCATCCAAGAGGATGAGTCGCCGATTATTACGTTACAATTTTCACACTGGAATACTACGACTCCTGTATCTTCTATTTCTTGAAGAGTATCGACAGTTCCCATGTTCTGCGTGATACAAACGGCAGCGATGTTCGACTTTCCCGCTTCCGTTCCTCCGATTGACGATAGTTTCGTACTTTGATTTGTGAAATAATAGTAAAAGTCTGGTAAATAACAATAATTTTATAACATAGTATATGTTAATTTTGTTTTTAAATTATTATATGCCTATTTGATTGAAAATAAAATCCAATCAAAATGAAAATATTTAATCGAGACAAATGTTTTAACAACATTTAAGCTCCGTGTGTCCGCTTTATTTCCGGTGAAAGTAATGGCATCTGTGTTCCATGCAGTTTTGAAACGACAATGTCTAAGAAATAATCCTTACAACCGGCCTCAGTGGTTGTTGGGAGCAACCACTGTATATACACAGAAAGACAAACGCATGTTATGTTGTGCCAGTGCAAAGTTTCATAGAAAGCATCAATTTCAAACACCGTCTTTTGATAAATCTAACTGCAAAATATTTTGTTATTTAAATAGTTTAGGTAATTTTTATTGCTATTTCAACCATGTGCAAAGTAATAGATTTATACACACTTCAAGAAAACTACATTTACCTAAAGGCAAGAGAAAGGATACACACCGGTATCAGGTACAGATACAGTGTCTTTATATTGAATTTAAAATAAAAAATGAATAAAATTTCTGAAAAAAAGTAAAAATAGATAAATAAATTAATTAATTAATTAAATAAATAAGTTAATATACAGATGAAAAAATAAAGTAATTCATTGCTATTTTTTACTGAAATAAAATAAGTAAAATAAGTGATAAAAATAAGTGATAATAAAAAATGAATACTAGTAAGTGAATAAACTAGAGAAAGGCTAGTTAATGGTATTTGAAGGTTCATGAATCTAATGGTTTAATTGATATGAAGTTAACAGATTTGATAGTTACTTAAAAGAGGCCTTCTCATTAACAAAATTAAATGGAACATGTTTCATTGTCAGAAACGGTTCCTGTTATCTAGGCAAATCTCTTAACAATTAAAATGCCTTTGAGATGTGAACGACCAAGTTTTTCATCTATAGATTGTTTTCTGCAATCATACTGTACATTTAGTATGTGAATTTATTTTGTTCTGTAAATTAGAAATGTGGCCCTGCTGGGTATAGTTAGCATTTCTGGACTCAAAATCTTGGCAATATTTAGCTATCTGATTAGCATCAAGGAATTTTCAAATGTTTAACATGCACAAGAAGAAGAGGGAATGGGATTGAGGATATATTTAATTATATAATACTTTTTTGGGATAACTAATTATATTTTTCTTCCTGTGTAGAAGGATGATGCAGAATTACCAGGAGAAGATGATGAGTCTGATGAAGAACTGGATTCTGATGATGATGATGGTGAAGTGGAGCTTGGTGATGATGTTGAGGAAGAGACAGATGGCCCAGAAGACTATAGAACAATGAACATTACAGTGAAAACTGTGAGAGTAGATTCCGTGGTGGCTAGTGGTCTTGCCATTTCAAACAAGTAAGATATACTGATCCCATTTAGTCAAGACTTAATTACATGACATGACCAGATCCAACATAGCACTTGTGGGGCTTTAAAAATTGAAAATTGTGCCTAAAAAGCTACAACTGATGAAAAAATTCTGTCACGTATGGACATATTAGTGTGTGTGTGTGTGTGTGTGTGTGTGTGTGTGTGTGTGTGTGTGTGTGTGTGTGTGTGTGTGTGTGTGTGTGTGTGTGTGTAAGCAGGGTCTGTATACGAAGCTAGAACCTGCATCTATCAACTGAAGCTTATGCTTCTACTATCTGAATCAAATGTGGACATTCCTTAGGAGGTTCTGTATGACTTGTAGTGGGATAATATCAAATATATTTCAGAATCTGTTTATTATACAAAATGATACATTTCCATTTGTTTCTTTCCTCTTTGCTTATATGGCATATAACAGTGCTTTGTCAGAAATATGTTTATAATTTTTTACAAAACTAATAACATTTTTTGATTGTATCCTGTATACATACAAAATATCCTTAAGTTCAAAGTAAAATTTTTGTTGAATACCCTTTTGCCCTAATTTTTTGTAATACTATTGTACCACCAGAGTGAGTGCTGAGGTACATATATCAAGGTTTTGTCTCCAAACTGCCGAGTTTTCTGTGACTGCTGTGACAGCTGCATGTCTGCAGATACAAGTCTCCATTACTGCATCTCCTTGTAGGCTTCTACGAGTATTGTCTCTTTGTTCCTGTAGTTGTTAATTGGTAGGTGCTGCAATTTGGGAATTTGCTGGCTTTGCCAATAAGATTTTACAACTAATTGCTGCTTGTTGTAGACAAAGAGTTCTCTTCTTCTTTGTTTTAGGCAAACAGAGGCACTGTTTTTAGGAACAAAAATCCTTGTCAATGGTGAGAAAATTCGGAAGAAAGCTAGAAGAGTAGGTGGTTTTTAGAAGTTTTCTCTTTGTAACTGAACTGAATGATATTAAGGTGTGCATATTTTCTGTTGAAGTTAAATCTACTATGATTTCAGTTTCATTAAATTTAACAAAAATGATGAAAAAAGAAGATGGACATATAAAACTGTACAATTGCTGTGGTAGTTTAAAACATTTGAAAGTTAAGTGTAGCTGTAGTATTTGGAATATTGATTAATAATGACATGATTTGGGTTGCTTATAACCTAGAATTAAATGTTTTTTTTTCTTTTTTTGTAATTTTAGGTTAAAGTGGGTGATATTCTAGATGTAATTGGAGAAGGGCATGAAAGTAATAAAAAAAGAAGAGTAAAAGTTCTTTCAATTGACACTGAAAACGTAACTAAAAAAGGGAGAGCACGAGTCACAATAAGAGCTTGGAGAAATCCTTTTGAGTAGTTTCTTTTCCTGATGCAGGAAAGAAAGCGTGAGGACCTAATAAGCATTTGGTTGCCAAGCAGCATCTTTAAATTTTCGAAAACATGAATGGGGAAATATTTTTGCCCAATTTATTACAGAATTATAATTAGTGCAGGGAATTTAATCTGAAAACTTTTAAAATAGAAAAAAAATTCATTGTGATGGATAAATGTTTTTTTTATTATTATTTATAAAAGTTATACAAATATTGAAGATATAAAAACTGTATCCTTTTGTTACTAGCATTGATACATGGACGGATTTATACAATAGCTGCAATGCAACACTTTAAAACAGTTAAATTTTACTTTAATTATACACAATTTTTTTGCAAATATCAGTGAATAATAATGTCTTTTCCCAAACCAGTCTTTGCTTAGTTATTTCAGCAATTCACTGGATTATTCACCAATTTATCTAAAACACTCAGCAGTTGAAATGCATTGTTGCATGAAAATCTTGTAGCAATTGTCTTTTTTGTACATGAGTGTACTTTGTGTAAGTTAATCACTTTTCCTGATTTTTTAATGAATGCTAATCAAACTGTTTGAATTACCATAACAACCTAAGCTTACAGTTTAAAGTCGTAAAGCTAAAAGAGTCAAATTTGATTTGATTTAGATTTATTGAATAAAAAACCAGTTTGAGCCTCTATGCTTTTCTTGTAAAGGATCACATCCTAAATGCTATGACTGTGTTTGTGAATGTGTACCCTGCTGACTGCTACTGTCCTCTTGGTCTTCGTGTCTGGTCTGTTCATCTGCATTCAGGACTGTGGTCCCCAGAATGCTCTCAATGTCTTGAATGACAGCCTAAGCAGAAAAAGTGTAGATAATGAGGCAAAACTTCTCTCTCTGTATCCAGTACTTTACATCACTTGCATTTATTATATAATACAACTTTAATTTTTTAAATATATAGTTGCGATGTTTCTTTATTTTCTGACAATACTATACCTTAAAATTTGATTCTCCCTGCATGTTAGGTGCTGAGATCTCTTGATGTATCACAGATAGATTTCTGGCAAATGCTCCAAGAGTGCCTTGCAAGTTGTCACCAACAGTTCTGCAATATACACATGTAGAGTGATAATTCAATTGTGTAAATTCTCAAAATCTCAAGAACTGTCAGTGGGTCATTCGGGTTATTCCATGATTCATCTGTATGAAATTCTGAACCAGTCATATTCCACTGAGAGCCAGTACCTTCTTTCTGTCTCATAAATTCAAAGTTGCTTTGGTCAACTTTTGGCTTTTAATTAAATTCTTCATTTTGAAAATTTTATAACAGTGGTCTTGTTTATTTATAAAACTTCTACTTAAAAAAATCACAAAAACTTACATCATGCCAAGATTTTCCCTGTTGAAACTGTCTATTAAGGTAAATATGGACCCCTGCTTTTCCTGGAAAATTTAAAATTGAGAATAGTTATATTTTTTGAAACTATAAAATTCACACAGAAAAGGATGTGTGTGTGTGTGTGACTAGTTATGCCTTGTGATATTCATGCCAAAATATGAACTTGTGTGGAGAGGGGTAGGGAGAGTCTATATCATTGGTGACGAAGCCAAGTTCTAATGCTAAAGGGCAGAGAACATTTAGGGCCATTTTCCATGAAGTCACACATATGGATTTTAAATTATTCCTAGAGACTGTTCATTGCTTTACGTGGTGCCTTACCTTGATATCAAAGCCAATCCCATGAGCTCTACACATTTGAAAGAAGACACTATAATGGACCACTGCCAAATTGGAATGGACAAGCTGAGTGCTCATTACAGCAAACCTGTTTGTGTTTGGTGGAACCTCTTCCTATTAAAAATTGTAAGGCCACTTTTAAATATGGGCTTACTTGTGTCACAGAAAGGTTCGACTGTGCCATTAAAATTATGACAGAAAAAAATAAGTTCAAAATAAAAGCCAGCTAAAGCTGTTTAATCTACAGGCAACATGTTTCAGTTAAAATACCTTTGTGTCTGAAAATTAAAATTACATTTTAAACTAAAAGTGATTACATAACCACACGCAGAGTGTACCAATGCAATCACATTCTACCCAAGTAAGTTATTTTATAAAGCTTGTTACACATGATGCCTATCTAAGGACAAATAAATAAATATATACTGTTACACTGAGAATTTGGTATGGCTATATTTTACAATAATCCTTGTACGCACTT